TCGGTGGCGTCGCCGCCGATGCGGTGCAGCAGCACGTCACGCCCGCCCGGGTGGTCGTCGTAGAACTTGGAGACGTCGCAGACGTTGTCGTGCAAGATGAACCAGCCGTTCTCCTTCGTGGCGTGCTTCGCCACCTCCTCGCGGGTGTAGACGGCCGCCGTCATTGCGGGGGAGGGGGCGGTGGTGGGTGGCTGTGTGGGTAACTGAAGCGGGCAGAGGTCAGAGCTCAAGGGCGTATGTAATTCTGCGTGAAGGGCGTCCTCCACGTTGTTGGCTTCGCCGCGCAAACTCTTCCGCCGCCGCCGCAGCAGCAGCGTCCGGGGCAAAGCGCCACGCAGGGGAGGCAAGCGAGAAAAAGAGGGGAGAGCAGGCGAAAAAAACAAAAAAAACCAATGATACTAATCATATAAAAGAGGCTTGGGGGCAGTTCCGCCGAGGGCAAAAAAGGCGGCACCGCGGAGAACACCGGCATGCGACATCCAACGCCGCCTCGCCGCCGCGCGGGCGTCAAGAAAACGCACAAACTCGCCAGCATCCGCCTCTCCCGCAACGGAAGAAGCACGCACGCACGCACACACACTAATAAAGGGGGAAGAAAAAAACGAGACGTTGGCTCCCTTCATGTCCTTCCAGTTTATTTTCCTCCTCCTGTTGCTGTTGCGGCGCCCACGCCGCCCCAAAACAAATTACGCCGTGGCGGCGCACAAAACCTCCTCACGGATAAGCTGCAGCACGTGCGAAAAGAGCGCCGCCCCAAACCGCATCGTGACGTCGAAGGAGGACCCCGCCGGTGTGCCCCACAGCTCCGTCTTTTCCCCAGCAAAGCCGCACGCAACGTAAACCGCAACACCAGCGGAGTCACACTCCTTCCGCAGGCGACGGGCAAGGCGCTGGGCGAGGCTCTGCGCCAGAACCGCGTGCGGGTTCGGCGCCCCCACGCCGGACTCCACCGGCTGCTCGTGGGGCGCCAGCGGGGCTTCGTCCAAAAGGAGCGAGGAGGTGGGTTCCGCGGCCACGCCGTCAAAGGCAACGGCGCACGGCCCAAATGCCGGCGGCGGCGCCTCGCCGCTCTCCCTTGACTCCGACAGATGCACCCAGAAGCAGCGGCGGTCGAATGACAGCACCTGCACGGTGACGCGGGCAATCGGAATCACCCGCGCGGCTTCGCGCGGGTCGTGCCTGCCGCTGCCGCCTGCGTCGTCTGCGCACGCGACCTCGTGCGTGAATGTGAACTGCCGCACCGCCAAAGCTGGGGGCGGCATGTAAGGCGGACAGGCGCTGGGAAAAAAAATAAAAGCAAAAAAAAGGGCAAAGGAAAGCCAAACGAGAATCTCGCCCGCCTTAATGTGAATCCGCCTTCGCCTTTTCCCAAGCAAAACTAACAAACAAAGCCAAAAAATGAAAAACGAAAAGAAATTTACAGGCAAAACAGCAGGCGACATACAATGTGGGGCGAGCGTGTTTGTGTGGAGAGCGCAAGAGCAGCTGCGTACCGCCCGCACACCGATGTGAATGATGACGCGCCATTGCCAGGGCCAAGCGTCATCGCTAGCCTCATTTGAACACACACAATTTCACTCATACCCACTTTTCTTTTTTTGCTCATCGTTTCATCTGTGTGCCTGTGTGCCTCACCTCCTCCCACCGCGGCACGCGGCCCCATAATACATGCGCCAGAGCACACCGCGAGCATTCCCCGTGTGTGTGCGTGCGTGGGCCGCCGCACCCGTGAATGGAAGGCAACAAAGGGCGAGAACATCGCCACGCGCGCACCGCATATGTGCGCAGACGCTACACCTCATCCTCGTCCTCCTCGTCCTCCTCCAACTCCTCCTCCGAGTCGCCGAGAAAGATTTCAGGCATCCCGGCCCCCGCGGTGCCGGTGGCCGTGCTACTCTGCGCTGACGCCCCTGCGGGGGGCACGACGCCCGCGGAGGGTCCGAGCAGGTCACGCAAAAGCCCTGGCGTGTTGTCGTGGGTGGTGCTGCCAAGGCTGCCGAAGAGGCCGCTGGTCGAGAGCAGCAGGGTCTGCTGCAGCAGCTTGCCACGCGCAATCTTCCCCAATTCTTTACTGATGGCGGAGAAAAATACGTGCTGCAGACGACGATCAATAGACAAAACACGCTTCACGGTCTCCTCGCTGTTGGCCACCTCGTAGTCGCCGAGCCGGCGGTAGGTGAGGGTGAGCAGGGAGCAGAGCGGGACAACCACCTCCTCGTAGCGCGCCTCTGCCGGTGTCATGTAGGCGCGGTGCTCGAGGTTCAGGTAAAAGTACTTCACAGGGGTGTCGGCGTCGGAGGCCCCAAGCAGGAAGAGGCCCCCGCCGACGCCGCCCATGGCCCCCAACAGACCCCCGCCGCTAGTGCTCGCGTTGCTACTGTTGTGGTTGTTGCCGGCGACGAACGACGAGGCACCGTCTGTGAGGAACGCGGGTTGTTGCTGGAGCTGCTGCTGTCGGTAGCTGCGCAGGTTGCGCCGCGCGAGCGCCTTGGCAGTGGTGCCGGCGCCAAACATGACGGCCACCTCCAGCAGCATGGCATACACGCGATCCACAAACTCCGACACAGAAAGCGGAACATGCAAAATGTCCGCCAGCGACATGGCGAGGCAGACGTAGCAGGGCATGCGCGTCGAGAGCCACGCCGCGTCCACGGTGTGTGGGACGCCGGCAATGGGCCCCACCGACACGACGACGTCCTCGGCGTGGTCCTCGGCAGAGGAGGACGAGGACCGCGTCGTCGCCTGCTGCGTCGCGGTCGCGTCGGTGGCGGGCAGGCGGTACTCGGCGGCGCAGGACTCCCCGTGGCGCTCCGCACGGCCTCGGAAGCAGCGCACAACGTCCGCGCGGGTGAGCCGCACGGTCCCCATCCACAGCACCTCGTCCTGGTGCAGCGAACGCAGGTACTCCAGAAACCGCACACGCTTGTCAACAAGAAATTCAACAAGCGCAAGGCGGGAGGCCGCGTCCCTGACCTTCAGTGACTTTGGCATGCGACCGGCCCACCCACGTTGCGACGCCTTCTACCGTAAAGCGAAATACCACCCCGCGCCCGGTGCATGCACGCACGCTCCCCAGCTTTCTCTCCTCCTCCTCGTTGTGACGCCGCAGGGGGGCGCAGGCACGAGGCAAAGAAGGAAGGGGAGAGAATGAGAGAAAAGTCCCAGTGAAAGCGTTAGTAGCAGCAGCAGCAGCGGGAAGAGGATCATCCCCAGCAAAGACAGGGGGGGGGGGGAAACGAACTAACAGCCGTCACGACTTCCTCCATTTATTTTTATCTCCTCCTCCTCTCCCTCGACAACTGCGGCAATACTAAAGCACGAGATCCCAGCGTCTCTCAGGCGACGTCGACGAAGCACTGCAAGGCCGACGCTTTTCGGCCACCGTCCTCCTCGCCCAGCGTCCCCTCCACCAGCGGCGTCATGCGCAGCAGACGCTCCAGCTGCTCCTCAAAGACGCCACGCTCCACAGGCAACGCGGCGCCCGCCTCGTCGAGCCACCGCGCAAGCCACTCCTCCTCTGTGGTGCGGTTGTACCGGCGCCGCGGGGATGCCGGGGGAGCGCCTGCAACGCTGACGTCACGCTGAAGCACAACAGACGCGGGCGATGCGTGAGGGTCGCCGTGCAAAATTGCCTCCCCAAGCGCATCGGTGACGTGCAGCGGCGGCACACGACTGTTGAGTGTGTCCAGGCTAAACAAGAGCTCCTCCGCAGACGCGGCAGCGGCAGGGGCAGCCGCGCTGCTGCCGAAGAGGCTTGCATCCTCCAGCCAGCAGAGGCGGACAAAATCGCTAAAGCCCAGCACAACTTTGCCGCCCGCGTTATTCGCGGCGCATAACGCCTCCCACGCCTTTCGCACCAGCACCCGGCGCTCCTCCACAGAAAGCGCCGCGACGGTCTCCGGGGGCGTCACGGGATCTCGCAGTGTTCGTACCACGACGCCGGCTTGACTCGCCTCAGTGGCTGCACTCGTTTCCCCCGCCACCCATCGACGCAGCTCGGGGCTCGTCACGTAGTACCGTGGCGTACGGGACGCCGTGGCACGGTGATTCAGCCAGCCCAGGGAAAACTCCTGCAGCATGCCCTCAATAAGAGCCAACAGCGAAGACGTTGTCTCCGCCGTTCGCTCAGCGGAGTCCTGCTGCCGCACCTGGGGCGACGTCAGCTGCAGAAGCTGCCGACGAATGCGTTGCAGGAGTTGAAGTGTGGTAAAGGCGAGGGTCCTCACACCGGTGCGACGCAGCGCCTCCTGCCAGTCAGCAAGAATACGCTGGGCGTGCGCGGGTGGGGGCGCGGCGGCGTCGCCGGTGGACATCCGCTGCTGCAGATCACGGTAGAGCGCCAGGAGGCGAAGGAAGAACGTTCGCTGCGGCTCCACCTCGTGCTTGGCGTGGATGAGGTCCAAGACGGTGTACACCACCTCGGAGGGCCGACGCTGCAAGAGCAGCTTCGCGGCAAGGAGATGTGCGGCGGAGGAAGCCATGACCCGCCGACGCAGACCTACAAAACTCAAAAACCGTGCAAAGTCGTCGAGGGCGTCCTTCTCGGCCACGAGAACCGCCATGATGTTTGCCGGAACCTCGGCGCGATGTGTTTTGGGGGCCGCCAGCTGGTTGTACAGCAGCAACGCCGCGCTGCTATCACGGGCGGCACTTGCGACTTGCAGCAACGCCTCCGTGACCGCGGCCGCGACGGCGACGTCGGCGTGTGAGTTTTGCTGCACGGCGCAGAACACCGACTGTGCCTCAGCCATCCTCGCCCGTGGCTCGAGTGTGACGCGCGCGAGTGCATGAAGCACGGCGCACAGGCCCTCCTGTGCGGGTCGCCGCGTGGCGGGCAAGTAGCCCGCGTCCGTATTTGCAAAGAGTTTTACGACGGCGTCGCGCACGTATGTGAAGTGGGCGGCACTCGTGTCCACGCAATTCGCGAGAGCCGTGAGCAGCCGCAGCCGCCCGGCGAGCTCCACAGCCGCGGCCTCGCTATGGCCGCCGCCGCTCTCCTTGTAGAGGCCGTCGCTGGTTCCCGCAGCGAGGCCAGGGGCGGCTCCTGCAACCAGCGGCAAGACGGAGGCGAGCTTCTCGTAGAGTACACGTCCTGCGGCGAAGTCACGGCCCGCATGAAACGCGGAGACGGCCGCGCACACGTCACGCATCAGGTCTGCGCGAAGCTGCTCCTGCGCTTCATCAGACACGGCACGATGTGATTGGCCATAAAGGGCAAAAAGTCTTTCCACAGCATCCACGGCTGCGGCGCCATCCTGCAGGGCAACGGCAAGCTCAAGCCTTCCGCGAAGCTCATCGACGTGCCCCGTCTGCAATGTTACTGTGTCTTGCACTCCCCCACTGTCATCGCGTTCCGTGGCTTGCACGTCCGCAGCTTCGTGGCGGCGCTGCGGAAGCCGCGTGAGGATCTCATACCCTCGACGTATCTCCTCAGCGAGGGCCCATTGCAGGCGCGCCGCCTCGCCTTGGTCACTGCGAGGCCACGAGAGAGCATCCTGCCGTGGTGGAACCGCATCGCGGCCATTCCTGCAGCGCTGCAGGGCGGCATACCTGGAGGTGATGCGGTCAGCAGCGCAGCGGAGCAGCACCGCGGCCGCCACAGGAGGCATCCACCCGGCATGGCTATCCGACTTCTCTGCGGCCGCCGCGATCCTGCGAAGGATGACGGTGGGAGGAAGATGACAGGCAACTCCTGCCCTGCACGCCTCCGTGAGCGCGGTCGCCGGTGGCGTGTCTATTGTCGTCGTCGTCGTCGTCGTCGTCTTGTTGCTGCTGCCGCCAGCGCCGTCTGTAGGGGCCATGGACGCGACAAATGCGTCTGTGCGCCGCTCGGAGAGGTCCATGACGCCAAGCTGCTCCATCAGTGCGGTATTCGCGGCCAGCGGCTCATCAACGGGAATGGCTGCCTCCGCTGCGCCACAGCCCCGGCCCCGCGACGGTGCCTCCTGCATGCTGCGAAGAAGACGCCTAAATGTCGCGTAACTTTGGCTCGCTTGCTGCCGGGGTGGGTGCGCGCTCGGCGCCACCGCGTGCGAGGCACCGTTCCTCTTCCAACTTGTGTGCGCCGTCGCACCCCGCGCGACGGTGAGCACGGCAACGGCGTTGTGTGGCGGTGCCCACGTCAGGCACGATGGGGAGCGTCCGCCCAGTCGTCTCAGGCACATTGGAGCGAAAGCTGTGCGTCTCCCCTCTTCACTCTCTCTCTCTCTCTCTCTCT